TCAGCAGGAGGTCTGTTATGAGGCAATATATTTGCGGCCAAATTTGCTCCATCCTCACAACTTGTGCTTTGACTGTTAATCTCTTTTTTACGAAATGATTCTACAAATGAATAGATTTATGAAAAATGAAAAAAAATTGACATCTAAGAAAACATTGAAATGGGAATTAACATACAAAATGAAGAAAATATTACCTTTCGATAGACAACCAATCATCCTCTGAATCAATTCACCTGGCGACAATCCAAAAACTTTCCAAAATTCTTTACCTAACGCATAGAGAGCTGACTTGCCGTTCATACTATAAGTCCCTCCATGTTTTTCAAAATTTATTGAGAAGAGCACCTAAACAAACAACAAAAATTCAACCAAAGGATGCTTCATAACTGTGAAAAGTTGAGAAGTTCGGCTCCTCTTCGTGGTAGGCCGGCCAGTTGCTTCACAAAATCATGGAAAGATTTAATTAGGGATATCTTTGGAAACATCTTTTTTAGTTTTATTCCCTTCCTATTTTATGTTTCTTTATTTTTGTAGAACATCTTTTTTAGTTTTATTCCCTTCCTATTTTATATTTCTTTATTTTTTTATTTCAAAATTACTTTCTTTCCTAATTTAGACTAAATATATTCAGTAAGTTTGTAAATTAGGATGGATTGGTTTCACTATATATATGTACACTACATGTGAACAATGAAATTAAGTAAACTTTTCCTTCCCAAGAAATTCTACATGGTATCAAAGATCAATGTTCGATTTCTACGGGATTAAGGCATCTTTCATTGACCAACTTCGACTGGATTGCTCGTTTGCATCCTTCGTCTTTCTGCATTGATCGGCGAACACTTTGACTGAATCGGCATTGTTTCCTGCTTCGACTGAATTGGTTGTTTGAATCATTAGTTTGTTTGCATCATATGTGGTGCCTGCATAACATACCTTATCAATCTAATGTCTAGTAGGTTCTAAACTTTAAAACACCGTTTCATGTTTTGATGGTTATATATCCTCACAACTGAGATTTCTCTTCTGCCATACAACGTAGAATTTCTGGGTTATCCTTAGTTCATATTCATTCCCAAAATCGCACAAAATTTGACCCTGAATCTATCTAGAGTATTTGCCCTAGATATGTCTTCAATAAAAAGCGATGTAGTGTTACTCTCCTATTACCAAAAAAATAAAACTACATGAATATCAATTTTTTTTTAAATCAATCATATTACCCCAAATATAATGTTCAGGTGAAGAGTGCAAATGAACATCAATTTCGAGATGCATTTGATGACACATATACAGCCTCACTCTCTACTCCAACTAGCCCTCCTATCCTAATTGAGGATGTCCAACCAACCCAACCTGAAGTCCATAATAAAAAACTTTGTGTGAACACAAGAAGGAAAAAAAACCTCGAGCAAGTGGAAGACAACTAACAAGAACATAACTGCTCAAACCATAACCCGACTCCACATTCACCTAAACTTTTGGGTTATGAGTCTAGAACTCATGAGTTATCTCCTTCCTCTTCTAATATTAGTGATAAGAAAAGCTGCTTTAGATATCCAGTTAAGGAGTACATAGGCTATGAGAAGCTATTCTCATCCTACAAAATTTTTAATTCTAAAATTGATAATGTGCAGATTCCTAAATTTATTCATGAACCTCTTGAGAATTCATAATGAATGAAAGCAATTGAAAAGGAGATTCAAGCACTGAAGCATAATGACACATGGATTCTAACTAAACTCCCTCAAGATAAGTAGTCAGTTGGATAAAAATGGGTGCTCAATATGAAATACAAAACTAATAAGGTTATGGAGAGATTTAAAGTCAAACTTGTTGAAAAATGTTTCACTCAAGCCTATAAGATTAACTATCAAGAGACCTTTACACCAGTTGTCAAAAAAAACACTATCAAAATTCTTCTTTCAGTACCAGTTAATAAGGAAAGAGGGTTGTATCAACATGACATAAAAATATGTTCTTAAACGGAGATCTGGAACAAATGTATATGAAAATACCACTAGGACATGAGAATAATTCCAACAAACACCTAGTATGCTAACTCAAGAAGTATCTCTATATGCTTAAGCAATCACCAAGAGTGCAGTTTTAAAGATTTGTTAAAACTATGAGATGAATATTCTCAAGGTCAAGCTCAATACCACTAGGACATGAGAATAATTCCAACAAACATCTAGTATGCTAACTCAAGAAATATCTCTATATGCTTAAGCAATCACCAAGGGTGCACTTTTAAAGATTTGTTAAAACTATGAGATGAATATCATAATTTGGTCATAAAACACACTTAGGAATATAAATTATTGTACTAATAGTATATGTGGATGATATAATTCTTACTGATGATGATAAAGGGAAGCTTGTCAATGCAAATAAATGTTTGTCATTAAGTTTGAAATCAATGATCAAGAAACAATGTGATATTTTCTAGATATTGTAGCAAAATCATGAAACCCCTCAAATCAACATTGATAGCTAGCAAGGTCCAAGAAAAGCATCATTATATTACTGATACCGAAGTTCACCCACAACATGATAAGAAAATAGATTTTTATAACTCAAACACAATAGGGTTATAATCAAAACTCAACATGAAAGAAAAATACATTAAAAATCTCCTACTAGGGCTAAGCGGGACAGCTATGGTGAGGTGGTTTGGGTAATTGGTGGCACCCTGGAAGTGGGTAGGTAGGTGGCGATTTGGCGCAACAAGTAGGAGAGGGGTTACGGTTGAAGCTGACAGCATGCGTGGGTTTGGCAATGGAAGTAAGGAGTCATGGCCTGTGAGGGATTGTGTGTTGGAGGGTGAAGGGAAGGTGCAGTTAGCAGCAGCAACAGGGTCGGCGGTCGAGTAGTAACAGCTAAATCAGCAAGAGCTATGGTGGCTTGCGACTGGAACACGGAGCAAGTGATATGAATAAGGATAACTATCCCCACAGGAGCAATCTATAGTCGGAGCACCCTCAAACCCTTCGAAAAGATTAACACCTCTAACGAGCTACAACTGAAGCACCTTCTCGTCTTCGTATATAGCCCTAGACAGAAAGACAGTCATTGACGACAAGCTAGACAGAAATCTTAAAAGCAAAAAAAAAAAAAAAATCTAAACAGAACATAACATCTATATATAATATAAGATAACAAGAAGGGGGAAGGGGGGGAGAGAGGGAGAGGCGTCAGCATCCTCCAGTTCTAATTAGGGTCGGTCAGTTCAGCCTCCCTGCTTAACCAGTCATTGAACACAAACTAGACAGAAATCTTAAAAGCAAAAAAAAAAAAAAAATCTAAACAGAACATAACATCTATATATAATATAAGATAACAAGAAGGGGGAAGGGGGGGAGAGAGGGAGAGGCGTCAGCATCCTCCAGTTCTAATTAGGGTCGGTCAGTTCAGCCTCCCTGCTTAACTGGCAGACCCATTGTTGAATCGTTGGTCGGTTCAGTCCTAGCCCCTGCATCGATCTCTTGAGGTTGTGAAAGTTTTGACTTCATTCTTCAAATCTTCTAGTTCTTCGTATGCGGTCCTGGCAAATGAATCTCATTGTTGGTTGCACTATCTCCCAAAATAATCCAAGGTCGACTTAACATGATCTTACGTGGGTGAAACCTGAGCCTCCCCGAATTGTGACGGCCATGGTGGTAAGATATCCATCGTGTGGTCTTTAAACATTTTCGTGACTTCCCTGTGTCTGGAATAAGTGTCTCGATCCTATCATCCTTTATTATCGCAAAAAATTATTCCCACTGATGTTTCTCTACCGGCAAAGGCACTTGTAATCTCGGACTCCGCAGAAGGTAGGATGATGTGCTTCCCCTCTATATGAAGGAGTGGGTGTTTTTAAACCCATCGTGCTGAGTTTTAAGGTCGACTTGTCACGGTCTCCATAACAACAGCTGGCAAGCATTCATAGGTACCACGTCGCACCACACTAAATCATGAAGTTGTCTTCCAATCGAGTACTCCACTAGTGTCTATCAATGTTGGTCATGTTCTCCTTCAGTCGTATCAAAGAATACGACTGAGAATGTCTCCAAGTCTTAAGGTTCAATTTCTCCACCATCTACATAGACGTCACATTCTTGCTGCTCATTCGATCGATGAAGACTGCATGTATTTCCGTTCACAAAACAATGGGTGTAGAATACGTTGTGGTGACGCCACTGCGGATCACTCATATCCTTAATTTGTAGGACCCGTCGAAATACGAGCACCCCGCGATCATCAGGTGGAAGAACACACAACTCACATTGTTCTTCAACTGCCTCCACGTTGCTAACCTCCTGCACTGCGCCCTACTCAGAAAAAGAGAACTCCACTCTTCAGGCAACTAGAAGCGATGTGCCCAAATCCATGGCATCTAAAACATTTTCGAGTAGAGATTGTAGTGTGTTATTTTTTTCGGGGGATGGCATCTAAAACATTTTCGAGTAGAGATTGTAGTAAGTGTGTTATTTTTTTCGGGGTTCTTTTCACTAGGGATGGCTTTGTCCTTATCCAAACCAATTTTCACAACCCCCCGAGGCATGCTCTTGTTGGTGACACCAACTGCAGGTGGTTGCCTAACTGATGGTGGTTGTGTGCTCTATCTCTATTGTCTCTCCATCTTCAGGGCAAAGGTCTGGACATCTTTGAGTGAACGGTAAGATTTTAGCTGCAAAACGTTGTTGATAGCGGGCATCCCGTTGTTGATAGCGTGCATCCGGCTACCCAGATATCGAGTTATGAAATATTCCTCTGGCTCAACCAACTCACACTTCATCTGCAACCAATTAAATTGCATTATGAACTGCTCCACTTATATATATCTCTGTCGTGGGTGAAGTCTCAAAAACATATCATGTCGGGTAATGTGGAGGTAGGTATTTTTTCTGTATTGTTTTCCTCATCTTATCTCACTTAGTAATCTTATTGTTGTTTTATCTTCCTCCGCCTCTGCAAGTTGTCTCACCACAAAGAGATGTTTTTCCTCAATTTGATGGCTGCTAATTTTACCCTTTTATCTTCTGGCACATCTTTGCACTCGAAGGTTCTTTTAACTGGCTGCAGCCAGTCGAAAAAGTCATCAAGATCCATACTCAAAGTCCTTGTGTCATCCATCTGCGACATCCTTTCTCGGCCTCCTTTAATATTGGATTCCAAAACGAGTAGGCTCTCGTTTTTTTCACCCCTTCGACTTTCCCTATCACGATCGAACGCAATTTCTCCTTGATTTCATCATCAATGTTTGTAAGCCTCTGTTGAAGTCGATAGATCTCTCGTTGTATCTCTACTCGGGTAAATTCAGGCATGTATCTCCTAAGTTGCATGGCTAGGGATTAATGTTAGGAAGTGAAAGAGGGTGTAAAAATTGATTTAGGGTTGGTGATTTTGAAAATCAAGAAGGAAAAATTAGGATTAGGCCAAAATTTATCTATAGTTTGGAATATGAAAGAAATTTTTGGCGGAGATGTTATGGGGTGGAGCAGATGCTAGAAAAATCTTGGATAGATTTAG